GACATGAATAAATGAAGAGCTAGATCATGTTCTGGTACAGCATGACTGAGAGCCATCAAGTCTTATAGACATTAATTTTTCATTTAAAGTGTGAATGCAATGTCACACTCAAAATCCTAAATGTTTTATTTGGGGTGAGGGAGGCTAAGAAAAAAAAAAACACGAAAAAAAAAACTGCTTGAGGAAGCAATTTAAAAAAAAAATGGGGACGTGTAGGTATTCAGGAAAATGATTCCTGGAAAAGTACCCATAACATACTTGGTGAAAAAAAAATGTTTTTGAATGTATGCATGAGCTGTCTTAAAGCAAAAGAATTCCTTAGAGAGCCAGAAATGACAAGAAAGTACTAGTCTAGAACAAATGCTGGAGACACTGTGTGCCCTGGAGCAGTACCCAACATTCCTGGCCTAGAGCTTGGGTTTTAGTAGGCCACAAACTGATACAGCTTTTGTGAGGCCTGAAGCTTGTAACATTTGGCCCTCTTTTAGAAAAGTACCAAATCTGAATATGGAATAAGGCATGAAGTACATATTTATTAGGAATGAGCAATACATTAATTTTTAAAACTGAAAAGCAATACAAAATCTAGAAAAGTAAATATTTTAATTGATTCATTCCCAGACAGATTGCTCTATTACTGTTCTACACTTATATTTTGGCTGGAGAATCTCTTGATTGCTTTTTCACATGTCAATAATGGCATAATATGGTCTATGAAGACAAGACAGAAGACTTTCCCAGAGGATAGCTTCTGATTTTGTACATTTCAAACACTGTGTCTCCTCTACTCCCCCTCAATACTTTTTCTGGTGCCAAGTACCAGAGGATATATTCATACTGTGTTATGACTTTTGACCTTGTATCTTCACATAGCAGTGCTAGGCAAATTGGTACCTTGGGAGGTAGGGACAATCTTAGAAAACATTTTTACACTGGGGCAGCTAGCAATAACTTAAACATGATGAGATTACAAACTACATACAGAGAACCCACTAAATCTAAACTAATTGTATCCATTCAACATCCCTTCAGTCAGATCCCCAAAATGCTCATGGCCATTCCAACATCATCTAATAAAAGGTAAATTATAAACAGAGGTGGTTGGAATAAAAAAGAATCAGAGGTCTTAAAAGTGATTACGCTTAAAATACCTTAATTACGCAGATTTTCTTGAAACAAATGATTTTATACATCACCAGGCTAGGTTCTGGTTTTGTACATTTTTAATATTGTTTCTTCTCTGATGCCTCATATTTCTGGTGTCAAGTGCTAAAACCAAACCACACCCATTGCCATAAAGTCAATTCTGACTCACAGCGATCTTACAGGACCACTACCCTACAGGGTTGCCAAGGCTATAAATCTGTATGTAAGCAGACTGCCACATCTTTCTCACTCTGACTGGCTGATGAATTCAAACCACTCCCACCTTTTAGTTAGAAACCAAATGCTGAACCACTACATCACCTGAACTGCACTCAAGTGTCAGAAGACACAGTCAGACTTAGACGTGACTGCTGACCTTACATTTTCTTATCAACACATTGGGCTCTCTCTCTGGACCCTGGAAGGTGCACATGCAAGTAAGGGGTTTTGAAAGAAGCTTAAGCTTCTTTACATTCATGATAAAGCTGCCTCTGGCCAGGAATAAGGGGGGTGGGGGTGGGGTAAGGCACTATAATGAGGCCTGAAGCAGAGAAGCTGTCTGTTTGAACTGCCATGAAACTGGAGCTATGAAGAGGAATACACTGAGAAAATTTCAGAAAATCTTCCACACAGATAGGATCCAGCCACGGCTGCATAAAAGCCTGCCTTCATAAACATTATACTATGCTGCCTTTTTCTTGAGGGAAAAAATATGGCATACCACGAACCAAAATAAATCCCCAAATAGATCCAACAAGTAGTTTTAAAAATTCATTTAAAAATTTTAAAATAATGAAAGAAATCACGTGGGCAAAGTTGATGAGCTTCATTGTATAAAATCATAGATTCCACATAACAAAGATGAACAAAAACAAAAGTAAAATCCTGCAACAAACCTAAACAAAAATACATTGTCACAATTATTACAGGCAATGCCAAATACTTTCACACATAGCAGACAGAAATCTGTTAGGACAACAAAATAAAAATCTGGAAGATACAGATAATACAGAAAGGAAATCAAATGACAAACATATGAAAGTTAAATATTTTTTAGAAGTCTAGACAAGTAGGTGTGGCACTGTAGGATAAAGCACTGGACCACAGGTCAGTTTGAATGCAAATGGCCTCCCTTAAGAATGCATTTCTATTCTAGCCCTGGGTGGTGTAAATGGTTAACCACAAAAGGCTGTAGGCTTTTGTTTTGTTTTGTTCTTGTAGGTTGGAGGTTTGAGTCCACTCACAGAAATCCTGGAACATCGGACTGGTACTCTACTCCCAAAAGACCAGCCACTGAAAACTTATGGAGTACAGTTCTACTCTGATACACATTTGGTTGTCATGGGTCAGAATCAGCTTGATGGTAGGTAACTGGTTTTGTATGGTTTAGGAAAACGCCTAAGACAGTAAGAAAACTTTCTACACTCTAGCCCAGTCATTCCTCTTCAAAGACTCTATTCTATAGAAATAGCCAAGATTGTTGTTATTGTTGGGTGCTACTGAGTTGGTTCCAACTCATAGCAACCATGTATCCAAGGAGCAGCTAGTGGGTTTGAACTGCCGACATTGTGGTTTGAAATCCAATGCTGATCCTACAGCACCACACCAGGAGTCCAACCAAGATCAGAACACAGATTAATTTTTTTTTTTAATCACAGAAATATCAGAAACAACCTAAATGTTTAAATGAAGATTTGTTAGATAAAGAAGAATATCTTTATAAGGAAAACATATGTAAACTTTTCTTGGCTCCCTTTTTAATGGCACTGAGATGATCTCTGCCTTAGATTCTATTGCCTTTAAAAGCTGATATTTACTGAGAAATTCCATTTGCATTCAAAGAGTAACCACCACCATCCTGATCCATGAACAAGAGGTTTATACATCCTCACATTCCTTTTTAAAACATCTGACTCCAAAGAATAACATCAAAGCCTAGACACCTGAAGGTGACATGCTGGGGAAGGGAGCTCACACCCTTGAGGGGGGCGGGGTGGAATCACACAGTCTTCATTCCACAGGGAATGAAGGTCTGTGAACAGTATGATGGATTAAGGAAAGTGTTCTTCTTCCTTAACTGAGATATGGACTGCATCGAACTCTGATAACTAATATTTGACCACTGAAGATGTATGAGTGTGCATGTGTGAGTAAGCCCACATTTTACTTTATGATTACCTGCATTTTGCACTGTTGTGTGGCTATGTGAAAAGGGCCTGAACTTAAGAAGAGTTGTTGTTGTTGTTGTTGTTGTTGTTGTTAAGTGCCATCGAGTCGGGTCCGACCCATATCGACCCTGTAGAGGGTTTCCAAGGGTGTAAATCTTTATGGGAGTAGAAAGCCTCATCTTTCTCCCGCGGAGCGGCTGGTCGTTTCGAACCACTGACCTTAAGGTTCACAGCCCGATTCGTAACCACTACACTAAGCCCTACTTTTGACTACGTGGCAACATTTAAAAATCCAATAAAATGAATTGTCATCTAAAGGCCTCTGGAAGTCCTGATGCTGGCTGAATAATTTATATTTCAGGCAATGTCTGCTGGAGATGATGTATTCTAGAAAGTGCCTAATGGAAGAAGAGAATGTGCGAGTAAAGATTCACACTGTGCAGGTTTGAAGGGAGGCACTCTTTCCCACAATGGGACATCTTAAAAAAAAAAAAAAGCTAAGTAAATCTAATAGCTGGAGGGTATACCTTCTGATAGTATCTTCTGGAAAAATGTAATGTTTATTTTTGTTTGTTTTTTGTTAGGATGTGATGGGAACCATCATGTGAACTTATCATTTTGATTCCAGCTCCACACAACCCTCTGCAATTCCCCCTTTAGCTAGTCACCGTTCAGTTAAAGTTTGGTATAATGGTATTATGGGGGATAAGGCAGATGTGGCCTTTACCACTGACTTCCTTCTGCAGCAGTCAGTGAGGAAGGAGGGGGCTGAACCAGAAGCAGGTAAGAAAATATATCAGAGGGAACTGAACCTTGAATGAGAAAGTCTGGTGCTTAGGATAGTTATATAGTTGCTCACCATAAACATCATAATGATTTTAATCACAGTCTTGTTTTCAGTCCTCAATTTACAAATGAGGAAACAAAGGCAAAGAAGATTTATATAACTTGGCTTAGGTCTCACAGCTAGGAAATTGTTGGAGATTTCAACCCTGATCTTTGATTCCAGAATCTACAATGGCTGCATCAGAGCTACTCAATGCAGTTTGCAAAGGTACAGCTGAAAACAGAGTATAGATGTGCAGAAATATACAGCCTCTCAGTCTTCCTGTTGGCCAGAGGGTTCCATCCTCTCACCCACCTTTGGCTGTAAGCAGCCCCCTGAATTTACTCAGTGTCCTTAGCAAAACGTGTTGCCATTGAGTCAACTCTAACTCACAGTAACTCTGCAGGATAGAACTGCACCATAGTTTTTTTTCAGGGCAAAAGGTTTGTGATTCTAACCCACCTAGTAGTTCTGCAGGAGAAAGAGCTGATGATCTGCTCCCACAGAGATTACAGACTAGGAAAGCCTATGGGTCAGTTCTACTCTGCCCTTGAGGGTCACTTGGAGTTGGAATCAACTTGATAACACCAAACAATAACAAATCCTTTAAGCAGCAGACTGCCACACCTTTCTCCCACCAAACTTTATGTTATCAGCCAAGTGCTTACCCACTGCCCTACCAGGGCGCCTTTCTGTGTCCTTATAAACATGAAAGATGTCTATGCATGTCACGTGGAAAAGGCTGTGAAGCCCTGCAACAAGTGTTCCTGTCTTTTATCTCTCAAAATTCTGGGACTGCAAGTTCACACTTCAACCTGGTCAGGATTTTACAGCATTGTGCAGATGAACTAGAGTCTTACCTTTTCTGACCTTTGGAGTCTCTGGTTCTCGAGAGTCTTGGCCCTGCAGTCGCCCGAAGGCCACCTCGTCTAAACTCCGCCATCCCAGGTGTATCAGTGTTGAAGTTTCCTGACTGAGTTCTTCGGATTCTGCGTGAAGATAATCAGTAGGGACCACTGGGAGACAGTCTGAAAATGCTCAGGGCAAGCCCATCTCCATAGGGCCACAGAGGCCAGAGCCTGGCCTTGGGCACTATTACCTCTCAGTGCTTTTCCTTCCTGAGGTCAAAGATTACAACCTGTGACAGCCTCTTGGTCAGACCCAACCCTCAATTCTGACCCTGCCTCTGGAACATGGACGAACTCTCATGGGAGCTTAAGTAAAAATTGATGCTTGGTAGGAGGCTACTTCGTTTCATAGACTCTAGGGTCAACTGAGCCAGAACATATTTAGCTGTCTTGAAAAATTTCTTAACAAATCACATGTGAACCCCCTAAGAAGGAAAGATTTGGTTTCATCCATATGTCTCTCACAAAGCACATGTAGTGTGAACTACAGTGACTGTGCTCAGGGTATGTGGGAGGGAGGGATGGATGAAGAATGGATAGATGGATGGCTAAAATGAATGACATGGAAGGTGACTAGCTATAACAGATGGATGACTTTGAAAGTTTCCCTTCTCTGGGCTCTAAAAAAAGAACACAAATTTCTTTTTCTAAACATACATGACAACTTTTGTTTATTCCTATTTCAACAGCTGGTGGACTTGAGTATTATACACATTCTCTGTCCATTTAAAGGGCAATTTCAAGTAGTAGGGCTATGATCATCACTATCAACTTACTTTCCCCAGAACTTCTTGATACCCTTGGGGCTTCGTTTACCCTCTGGTGTCAGAGGAGACTGGGGGCCCGACTCAGCCCCAGATGAGGTGGATGAGAGGTCGTTGGCCAGGGCAGTGTCATCCCAATTACTTTCTGTTTCTCCTGAAGTTGAAAGAATGAAATGGCATGTGAATGAGAGGAAGGGACATGACCTTTACAAACCTCCCCTAAGGTCACCCTTGTAGTCCTGGTGTGATAGCTGTAGATTAAAGCACTGGACCACAAGGTCGGTTTGAACCACAAGGTTGGAGGATCAAACTCACCAGCTGCTTCTTGGAAACCCTATGCAGGGCTGCTATGAGTCAGGACTGGCTCCACGGCACTTAACAACAACAACCACACTAAAGTAGGAGTTTGGCAGAATCTGCCCAGTTCTGTCTTCAGGGCAGAACTCTGAATCAAGATCTCAGAGACCACAGGGCTTAGGCACATGCCAGGTTCTCTGAGGAGTTAATTAGCTAATGTTTTAAAGCTGGGTGAATTGTTGTTGTTGAGTGCCGTCGAGTCGGTTCCGACCCAGAGTGACCCTGTATAGGGTTTCTGAGGAGCAGCTTGGTGGTAAGTTAGTGGTTTTCAAATTCTAAGGGATCTGGATCCAAGCACTTATTGATTACTCCAGCAAGGAGCTTCATCTTCTTAGCCCAAGGGAGATAGAGAAACGCAGGCAGGAGGGGGAATGTAACTGAATGTTTGGGCGGGGGGGTGCAGGGTAGGGAAACAAGAACACTCTCACTCTCTGCCTCACCTGGAATGGGTACAGTACCTAATACAGGGGCACTGACACTCCGGCCGCGATCTCCAGCCAACCAAGAAGCAGAGAAGCCACATGAAGAAGCAAGAGAGGCCAAAGTCCAGCCAAACAGAGTTATGGGGAGGCAAAGAAATAAACAAAAGAGTGTCATCAAGCAAAAGAGAAAAACTCAAACGGAAAGAAAAATAACCCCATGTGGAAGGATGAGTAAAAGGTGACTGAGTTCAGTTGACAGAGTTAGGGGAGTGAGAGGAGACCTCACAGGAAGGGACTGAACGCTCCTGGGGGCACTTCCTGCCAGACTGAGTGAGCAGCACACAGGTAGAGGGACAACTGAATACAACAGGCCACACGCAGCTCTTGTGTGTGTGCCAAGCCTCACTCAGCACAGACTGCAATGATCCAAAGCTGCTGATCCAAGTCCACAATCTGACTGTCACCAGGGCACATCCACTAAAGGGCTTATCTGGAGCCCTTACAACCAAGGGTAGAACTGGTCATCATGTGGTCAACACATAGGTCAGCTCAGGGAACAGCCAGGGCTGAGGAATCAGAGGTGGAGAAAGTTCTGCCATGAAAACAATGTCCCCTCCTAGGCCCCACTGAATCTCCTCTAGCTGCTGTTGGGGAAAAATGGACTATCACAGATGAAAAGCAGCAATGAACTCCATGGTTACAGGTCCTAACCACCAGAAGGATTCCTGAGGACTGACACTCTTGCCCATTACCCATTTCCCTAAAGAAAAGAATCCCTGCTCTCACCTGGAAGAGTGCAGAATCTCATCATGGTGGCAGTAGGGAAGTAGCAGAGAAGAAGGCAGAAACAGGAGGGAGAAGATCAGGAAGACAAAGGAAGGTAGTGTGTAGGAGGGACAGAAAAGAAGAGGGCTGGGAAGGAGGGCAGGAAGAAGTTTGAGAGAAAAGGAATAGAAAAGGAGGAAAAAATGGGAGTGGAATAATGACACTGGAAAGAAACAGAGTGAGTACACACTCTGGTTTTCTGGGGTTCTGCAGTGTTCATTTAAGGAAACAACAGCTTGCTCAGACAGTCATTTTCTCTAGAAGTGGGACTACCCCGGTACAACTTGCCTCATCTATCCACCCCACCATTCTCCAATGTGGGGTACAGTGGTAGGTGCAGGGATCTTATACAATAACTGGATGTGCCAAGGACACTGCTTCTGAGACTGCCAGCCCAGTGGCCTGAATACTCACTCAGTCTTGGCAGGCTGCTTCCTGGGGCATCAGGCTGAGAGGTAGTGGGAGTAGATTTGGCAGCCTCTCCATTGGGTGTGGTTCCTGAAACCTTCCCAGGTAATGTCGGATACTTGTGTTCCACCAAGAAAGGGCTATCCTATTGCAATGAAAGACAGACAGACAGACACATAAACACACACAGAGAAAAAGAGATATGCCATATTAGCCCTCAGTCTCAGACTTAAACGCAGATAGGAAACAACATCTCACTCCTCCAAGAGCTGTTTTTCACTTAGACCCCTCAAAACCATTTAATTCAGCCCATAAAAGGGAGAGAGAACTAAGCCCGAATCTAAGGATGCCTACAACTGTCCCTAAGGAGGAAGTAGAGGTAGCTCACACATAGGGCCTTTGCCATTTGAGCTCTTCAGAAGCTCAAAGAACAGCTATGAATTACCCTTTGAGCTCTTTAAATATCCTGTAAACCAGAATTCTAATAAAATCTGTATATTGTTTTATCATATGTACAACAATCCTGCAAGGTGTTATTTAAGCCCATTTTCACAGATGAAGAGAGTAAGTCCAGAATTATTGTTGTTGTTAAGTGCCATTGAGCTGATTCAGACTTATAGCGTACCTGTACAGGTTTTCTAAGAGCAGCTGGTGGGCTTGCGGTTCCCAGTCTGGTGTTTAGGCTACAAGGCCACACCAATAGTCCATAATAGAGTAGTAAAATCATTCATCTCAGGTCATCCACTGTCACCAACTATCAGCAAATTACCAAAATGGGAATCTACACTTTCCTGCTGGCAGAAGAGGCGACCGAGGCCAATCTGGGGCTTGGCCACCCTGTTCTCCCAGAATTGCTTTCCTGTGGATGGTGGAGAGGTGGTCACAGAGCAGGACACTCAGTTAGACCAAGTCAGGGCAGCCTTCTGCAGGGGCTTCACCAAGTGCACATATTATCTGGATCTCTCCTGAGAGGGCTATACTACAGCAGGGGGATTAGAGTTTAAACATGAGGTGGAAGAAAAAGTCTGTAATATGGTAATAGCTGATAGTTCTGATGTGGCACTGTAGGATCAGCACTGGACTGCTAATGTTGGCAGTTCAAACCCACCAGCTGCTCCTTGGAAACCCAATGATGGGTTATTATGAGTCAGAACCAACTTGATGACACTTAACAACAACAACAACATGGTAATAGTTACTTTGAAAAACATCAGATGAAGGGTAAATGAAGAGGCACAGATCCCTCTGAGGGAGAGGACAACAAGAAGGCTGCCAGAGGGCTACAAGCTTCTAGTATAGAGCTCCCCCATTACAGAGCTAGATGCACACAAAAGAAAATGGGGGAGAAAGCCATGCTTTTCCTCTAGTCATCTTTCCCTTAATTGTTAGAAAACATTAAGATTATAAAATCTGTAATCTGCGAGATAAAAACACCCTAGCAAACAGAACAACCACAACAGATGATGGAATCACACTTAAGGTACCTTAGGTTCTACCACCGGGGAGAGCTGGTTCCCATCAACACACTATGGAGTGGCAAGAAGGATTCAATTATGTGGAGAAAAAGAGACCGACTGGTGTTAGTCACAAACAGCAAAAACTCAAAACCACCTGTCAGTTTAAATCCAAAAGTCTCATCTATCCTCTCTCCTTCGCCATGTTCACGGCAAGTAATGACCACCGTTGGCAGAAAATACAAGTCTTACAGTCCAACCGCCTGGGCAATGATCTGAGTAACTGTCAGTAATGTGACCAGGGCAAGTGAGGCATGTGACCTTGGGAGCAAAGACACTGTATGGACCCATGGGTCCTGCTGGCTCTGGCATTTATTGTTGTCTATTAGTGTAGTGGTTACGAATCGGGCTGCGAACTGCAAGGTCAGCAGTTCGAAACTACCAGCTGTTCCGCGGGAGAAAGATGAGGCATTCTGCTCCTGTAAAGATTTACAGCCTCGGAAACCCTGTGCAGGGTCACTATGAGTCGGAACTGACTCCACAGCACAGAACAACAACAACAACATTGTATCACCAACGCTGTTGTTGGCACACTGCTGGAGACCCAGGGGTCTTATGTAGCATGGGTCACACTGACCGCTCTTTAGTGACTGAGCTGGATTTTCTAGGGCCCTCCTCTCTGGCATAGAGGTCTGTCCAGATGGTCAAGGTCACCAGCTTCCTAATCTCTATCTAGACTTTTCTAACAGCCTCCCTTCTAATCTTCTAAATGACCCCAAACCTACTCCTGTGATTGGAGTCCTGGTGTGGTGCTATAGGATAATCACTGGACTGCTAATCAGCTACTCCTTGGAAACCCTATACATCCGGTCGCTATGAGTCAGCACCAATAAATGGCACTTAACAACAACTGCTACTCCTGGGATTATCTTCTTTGTCCACATTACGTCCTTATTTAAAACCCCTGAAATGCTCCCAACTGCCCTTGGGATGTAAGGAGGAGTTTCAGAAGTTCTTGGAAAATGGAATTTTTTTGACAAAGAATTCATGATCGAGTCAATATTCAAGATCTTCTCTGGTGTGACTGAACTCATGGCTTTGACTTCACCTCTTCCTGTTCCCATCATTTCCTAAAACCTCCCTGGTCCACTGGGCTCTAAGCAAGCCTTTACCCACCTCAATCTCTTCTGCTCACCACCTTCAGGCAGCATTTCCTGAGCTGTTCTGTGTGTAAGATACCTTGGGCCACATTTGACTCGTTTTCTCAAAATGATCATGTAACTCTCCAACCTCTCTGTAGAAGCCTGAATGAAGTAGGGACCAGGACCTGACCTATACATCCCAGCACTGTGCTAGACACAAAGGAGTCACTAAGTAATCACTAGAGAGATTAATGAGCTGACCTTTTCCATAGATTCACTTCTTAAGTCTTCTAGACTACAGGAGAGTTTCTTCTGAGCCCTTGAAAAACAAAAAAGAAAGTAGATGAACAAATACAGTTACTAAGGAAGGAGGGACATTCATGCACAGGGCACTTCTGATGCTTAACCAGAAATATGTCTTGGAAAAATTCACCTTTTAGTAATAATATTCCATAAAAGATTATCCTGGCCCACCCTAGTAAGAGGCCCACCTAATCTGGTCTGTCAATGTGTTGGTGAGAGCATTTGGGCTTCACTTAAACCCAAACGAAAACTCTCAGGCATTTCTCAAAAAAGTAAAATACACTCAATTGTATTGCACTGCTGGGAGGTAAATATTGTATGGCCATAAAATAAGACCAGCATTTGCCAAATCCAAAAGAAAGGCAATATTATGCCTTCTCTGAGTCCCCAGAGCAACCCTAGGAGGAGGGAACTGGTACCTTCTCATAGGCAAGTATATCAGACCACCCTAGTTCCAAAGTACCACCGACTAGGATCCTCAGATTTCCTGTTGTGATTCTGTATACCCCAAACAGTCTGCTGAGAGGAAGTCTGATTTCATAGAGGCTATTTCACAGAGAAGGATACCAGGTGGACGAAGATGAACAGTGATATGAGTGGTCACAAGGATCCTCATCTCCTTGACAGTCATGCTTCTCAATTTGAATGAAGAAAGCATCTGTCTATACCCTTGTGAGTCTGGTCACAGCAAGTTAGTTTCTAGGGTTGATTTTCTAAGTAGACTCATATACCAAATTTCTTACTCTGTAAAAACTAAAGACAGGCCAACTACCTTTTAACACATTTCATTTTACTCTGGGACTAACGCCTCAGGGAAACAACAGGCCTCTATGAGCCCCAGAAAATGGGCCTTGAGAACCTAGGTCAAGTGTGCAACAACAAAGATATATGCTCTGGGGACTCAGAGCCATTCTGGCATTGTTTCCTTTATGCTTGTGGCTGACTTCTCCCCAGATACCTTGTCTGAAAGACAGCCTGTTCTTGGCAATAAAGCTACTGTATCTTCCTATATGAAGCCCAACTTGGAAATGTGTTCTGAAAAGGTGACACAGAAAATCAGTAGCAGTTTCCATTTAGACGAAACCAGACAGGTAGTAGCCAAGTGACCCCCCAGGCTAGCTCCTTGTTATATGAAACTGCCTAAAAGCAACTAGATTAATTTCCCTATGAGGGGCAATGACCCTCCCTGGAGAGTTGTCACAAGCAAGAAGAATGTTCCAGAGATGTGAATGAAAATGATAGGCACACATCATGGGATGTTCTCTCAGCTTTGATGAGCCACTAGAGAATGGATACAATGGAAGATGAGTTGCAGTCACCTCTTTGCTGAGACTCCTACTTCTGGCCAGGTGCTGTCTCAGTGACAATGACCCTCTCAGCCTGTGAGAAGGGAAGCCCTAAACCAAGAGAGGTATGTGGGAGTGGTTCAGGACTATTCATTGGTTGTGGCTCCCTTATACTACCACTGAGGCCTGAAGTACCTCAACAAAAGGGCAGATTTGCCCAGAAGATGTGACCAGCTATCACCCACCCCCAAGAATGGCCTAAGATCATAGATGCTCCAGGAAGTGCTCAGGCATCCTACCTGGTTTCCAAGGATTTCTGTGGCAGTGGTGGTGGTCCCACTGTGGGAGAGCTACATCTTGGGGGCATCTGCACCAGAAATAGAACAGTCACCATAAAGGGCAGTTAAAGTTTGCAGGCTACCCACCAGCCCATCCTTTCCCCTTCTTGGACATTTTCTTTTGCGGAGTTACATTTCCCCACTTAGATACAGCCATGGTGGATATGTCAGTGTGGGTGGCCTTACTCAAGATGTCAAGAGCTTGGTATATTGATCTAGATGGGTCAATCTGTCTCTTCTTGCTGGGTCCAAGTTTTAGACAAAGTGTGGATCCTAGCTGTAGTGTGAATAGAAACACAGTACCTCTGACTTAAATAGTTCTTCAGGTCCCTTGTTTGCAGTGGGCCACTTCCTGAAACTGGCATCCAGTTCTTCTTCATTAATACAGAGAGTTCTTTCAGAAGGGCCTGGAAGCATTAATGCAAAAGGCATTATCACTACTGTGTAATTTTCATGCACAGTTGTATCTGTACCACAAAATCCTAACATAGTTTCCTCTTCATTAAAAACAATTAAGCAGTCAATGAGAGAATAGAGAGTGTTTGAAAGATTCTTTAGGGCATCTTTCGGGCAAGAACTCACAGGGTCATCCTAAGGTCAAAGTTCACATGTTGCCCCCACTTTTCTCAGCTTGGCCACAGGCAGTCAAGTACTGACCCATTGCTGCCTCTGCCAAGATCTCCAAAGAGTCAAGAAAACAAGGTGGTAATGTGTACACTTGGGCTGGCAGAGGCCCTGGGCAGTGACCAGGCACCTAGTGTCTCGAGGAAGACTCCCAAAGTGCTTTCTGGGTTAGCTAGAGGGTAGGGTGGAGAGCTTTTAGATTCTTCAGCAGGGGGAGGGGAGAACATGCTCTAATGAGGACACTGGGTTGATTTTTGCTCCAAGATGAATTTCATTCACTGCCTCTAGGGGGTATCCTGGGAAGATGTACAGGAGACTTTCCAAGAGAAGGGATTCCAAAGGGTTAAAAGTTGGTTTTATGTCCTTGGTAACCTGGGTAATTCCTGGCAGCTCTGAAATGACTGTCATCTGATAAAATTTGTGACAATCATTAGTTGCCAATTCCCCACCATCCAAGGCAGTCTAAACAGCCCCAAGACGAAGAATCCCATGGCAGAACTGTTGTTTAACACAACTGATGGAATACCATTTGGAGGAAACTGATCCCCACTTGCTCTTACCTTGAGTTGCCATCACGATCTCCTTCACTCTCCGATACTGATTCAGCAGCCCCATCAGCTCCTCTATCCGACGGTCCTGCCAGAGTGTAAGAACAGATTTAGATGTGAACACCGCCACTGGTAGCTCCGACAATTTCATCTTGGGGCCAATGCTGCATTCTGGGTACACTGGTAAGAACCTCCACTATGGAACTTATAGAACACTACAAAGGGAAACACAATATCCAAAGTCCCTTCCCACTGAGCTTGAGTTCTTAATGGTCTACCTCCCAGGCATCTGCACTTCTACCTGAATGCTATGAGGCCACTCTCTAGTTTTTTTTTTTTAAAAAAAACCTCCTTGGCATGGCCTTCACATTTCCAAAAACATGAAATTTCCTGTCTCCCTATGCTCCTGAGGAGGAAGAAATTTGAAAATTTGCTTCCTATTGTGTGTGCTATCCTCTGGAGCTACATAAAATATGACTCAAATAAAGCCACTGTATTTATTTGTCCCAATATCCTTACCTGTTCCTTAAGAATCTGAAATTATATGTACAACTAAAGCAATTCCCAGAGAGGATCATTTATTTCAAGGCAAAGGAACCTAGAGATTTGGGGGTGGGGGTGGGGCAAATAGTTTCTGGAGTTAAACTTGGGTTTGAACTCTAGCTGTGCTATCTACTAGTTACTTGACTTTAGGCAAAGGTAATTAAGCACATTGAGTCTCAGTTTCCTCATCTGTAAAGTGAATGGTCATGAAACACAGAGAATGTGTACTTACAAATAATGGTTATTTTATGACTATGCAGGAATGAAATATGAAGCATCTAAGAAGGCAGGATAAACTGAGGCATTGCATGCTGCTCAGTGTCTCAGATCATGCACATGGAGGTGTAAAGGAACTACTTCTGAGTTTTCCCAAGAGTCTAACCCATTGTTGTTTATTTTCCCCCCAGATCAACATGAGCAGGCAGGACATTCATCTGTCTTTGGGAGACTTCACTTAGCAAAGGTCTCAGGTCTCAAAGCCAGTAATAGGTAACTGAGGCTGAGTCTCTAGAAGGCAGAAGCTGTTCTCCTGACACACTCATGTGTCAATAACGTGATAGGCATGCCTTAGATAGAAGATCAGAGAACAGCAGAAATGAAACAGACCAGGGATGTCTAAGGAAAAAGATTGGTCCACTCGATGACCAGCTTACTTTATCTTCATTTGCGACAAGCAAAGTTTCCATTCCCATTTTCAGACGTTGAATTTCTTGGTCTAAAAAAATTTAGATGTAGAGAAAATTAGTTATACAAATTCCAAGAGTAATCCCCATATATTAAGACGTTTCTAAGTGCAAACATGAGGAGTTTCCCTGTGAACAAATGACACAAAGGTTCCTTTATTTCTTTAGAGTCCAGGATGGTGTCTGGCAAAGAGTATCATTAAATATTTGCTGAACTACTAAATGAATGAACCTAATATTTTGGTTTCTCTTTATAAACATTTGCAAGAAAACCCAAAATGCCATTTACTCAGAGGTGACACAAAAGGGCTCAAAAATCTTTTACAACCAACATCTCAATGGAATGCAACCTTCATATCCTTTACAACTCAGGCAGGCATGTATCTGAACCTCTAACTGCTCTTGGAAAAAATCAAACATCCTAGGGATTGTAGCTAAGAAGCATTTAAAGCAAGAAAGCAAGAGAAAAAAAGGCTTACAGTTGAATATAGACTGGAAAAGGGTGATTATGTGAAAGAGTTGGGTACTTGACTTAATTCAAGATGACACAGTCAGAACTGACTGGCAAATGTTGAGATGGACCTCTAAACATTACACTACAGGTAAGGGAAAACAATTATTAACATAGTTTCCTCTTACTCTGGACCCATGAAGGGCTTTCTTGAATGTCTCTCAAACTGCTCTGGAGAGCCAAGTCAAAGACTGATGTCTGAAAGGTCTGGGAGTCACCCCACCAGGTACTTGGAGGACCAGGAATTTTCCAAACAGGTACTGTGGTGTAGTAAATTATTTTAATATGTCTTTTCTAGTCAAAATCTTTGTAACTCCCATCTAATCATTCTTTTCCTGATGGGTCTGAGTAAGAAAAGGTGGGCAAAGATACTGAAAGGATGATAGGATTCAGTTGTTAATGATCCTTAACAAGGTTAATTGTGATTTTAAACACTTGGAATTCTAACATGGGTATAAACTGAGCTAGCTATCTCAGTTATGCCAGAGCATATTGAATGATGCAGAATGCATCAAGAGAAGATAGAAGCAATACACAGAGTCACTGTACCAAAAGGAGTCACCATTTCAAAAGGTAGCATATGATCAAGAGCCAATGATACTTAGGGAGGAAGTCCAAAGTGCATTGAAGGATTTGGCAAAGAACAAGGCACCAGGAACTGATGGAATCAAAACTGAAATCTTTCAAGAAAGTGAGGCGGCACAGGAGGCCCTCACTCATCTCTGCCAAGAAATTTGGAAGACAACTATCTGGCTGACTGATTGGAAGAGATCCAGATTTGTGCCCATTCCAAAGAGAGGTGACCCAACGGAATGCAGAAATCATTGGACAATCTCTTTGATATCTCAAGCGAGTAAAGTTTTGCTACAGGTAATACAGAAATGGCTACAGTCATACATTGACAGAGAACTTCCAGAGATTCAAATTGGATTCAGAAGAGGCTGTGGAACGAGAGATATCATTGCTGATGTCCGATGGATCTTGGCTGAAAGCAGAAAATATCAGAAAGATGTTTACCTGTGCTTTATTGACTATGCAAAGGTTTCAATTGTGTGGATCATGACAAGCTATAGACAACATAGAGAAGTATGAGTATTCTGGAACACTTCATTGTACTCATGAGGAATCTGTACCTGGACCAAGATGCAGTTTTTCAAACAGAGTATGGGAACACTGAATGTTTTAAAATTAAGAAAGGTGTGCGACAAGGTTGTATTCTTTCACCATACTTATTCAACCTGTATGCTGAGCAAATAATTTGAGAAGCTGGGTTCTATGAAGAAAAACGTGGCATCAGGATTGGAGGAAGAATCATTAACAACCTCCCATATGCTGATGATACAACCTTGCTTGCTGAAAGTGAAGCAGACTTAAAATTTTACTGATGAGGATCAAAGAGCACAGCCTTAGGTATGGATTACATCTCAATTTCAAGAAAACAAAAATCATCACCACTGGACCAATAAACACATTCTTATCAACAGAGAAAAGATTGAAGTTGTCAAGGATTTCATTCTTCTTGGATCAACTATCAACACTCACGGAAGCAGTAGTCAAGAGATCAGACGACGTATTGCATTAGGCAAATCTGCTGCACAGGAACTTTTTAAAGTGTTGAAAAGCAAAGATGTCAGCTTGAGGACTAAGGTGCAAATGACCCAAGCCATGGTATTTTCAATAACCTCATATGGATGTGAAAGCTGGACAGTGAATAAGGAAGATAGTAGAAGAATTGATGCCTTTGAAATAAGGGGGTAGAAGAAAAAAATAAAAAGAGCAAGGGCCGCCAAAAAAAACAAAAAAACCAGTGTTGGAAGAACTGCAGCCAGAGTGCTCCTTAGAGGCCAAGATGGCTAAACTTCGTCTCTCATACTTTGGACATATTGTCAGGAGGGAACAGTCATTGGAGAAGGATATCATGCTTGATAAGATGGGGGGGGTCAGAGAAAAAGAGGAAGACCCCCAATGAGATGGATTGGCCAGTGGCAGCGGTAATGAGGTTGGCCCAGGATTGGACATTATTTCATTCTGCTGTGCATGGGGTTGCTATGAGTCGGTTCCGAGTCAATGGCACTTAATAACAACAACAACAAGCTATCTCAGAAGTAGGAGAGGGGGATCTCTCTACCATCAAAGAAGAAAGGCCATGAGTGGAGCATGTCATCTGGACCCCGAAATCCCAGCGCATTGAGCCCCCCTGACCCAGGGACATCAAACTGTTACACTGGTGGGAAGGCAGAGGAGCAGCAACATCAGATCCAAGAGCCAGAGCTAAGACAGAGTGGTGGGCTTCCCAGACACAGAACAAGCTGAGTGACTCAGGCCAAGAGGCTGCAATTAATTGGGAAAGTTAGGTTTTTCTGAGCCATGGAGCCAGAGACAAGTGCCTTCATACTGAGGCTTATGGTGTAGTGATGTGTCTGTGGGAAATTATCAGCAATCCTACAAGAGTTGTGTAACACTGGCCAGGCAGAGAGAAAGGCCTGTCTGTGGGCATTAACTGAAGAGAAAATGTCCTGCCTGGATCAAGTGTGCCATGGACATTGTTGACCCTGAATAGCTTCCCTAATAAACCCATAACTGTGACTATGGCGTCTGAGTTGTGTGTGGCCACTGCACTCAGCAACTCAACCCCGCTGAAGAGAATGTGCCGTGGAAGAAAGCTTGTCATTTTGGTTTTCAGGTGCCTACATTCATCTTCAAACTGGTTTCAGTAACTCACAGCAACCCTGTAAGGCAGAGTAGGACTGCTCCCTAGAGCTTCTATGACTGTTAATTTTTAGAGGTGTCAACAACTTCATTTTCTCTCAGAGTGGCTGGTGAGTTTGAACCACCAACCTTTTGGTCAGCAGTCCAATGCTTAACCCACTACATGACCAGAGTTCCTTATAAAAGGAATAGCAGTGTCTATACAAGAAAAGCACAGGAAACAAGGACGAGAAGAATGGGTATCCCATTTTCAATACGCTTGCTCGTAGTCAACAAGGATACAGGGAGAGTGTCTATGGGATTAATTTGAGAGTAAAGAGAAGAGTGCTTGCTCTTTGTCTTTAGTTCCTGGCAGTCGACAATCAGCTTTGCAGCCTAGTTGGTGAGGGTAAGCTACAGTTGAGGTCCGGCAAACCTAAGCAGAAGGTGACCAAAGGGCTAGCTCCAGGAGGTGCCTGAAGATGGAATGCAGCAGAGTCTGGAAGGCTTAGACTATGGGCAAACACAGAGTAGAGAAGAGGACTGTCTGGTCTCAAAGTCATGTCCATGGGAATTCCCTACCAAGGTTTGGCATCGCAGGTAGTTCAGAGTATCCAAGGAGGAACTAGTCTCCACACTGTCCCTTGGCAGTAGTGGCACACCTAATTGCTTAGCAGACATTGAGAAAGACTTGGGAAGGGATGAGGAGCATGCTGGTCACTAATTTCCTTCTCCAGTCTAAGCTGCTGGTTCTTGGTTGCAGGGCTTCTCCATCCCGAGCCAGGGCTCCAATACACAGGAGTATCTGATCTCCCCCAACATTGCTCTAAAGCCTAAAGGGTAAGTGGGGATTTGGAAGGTTTATGACCATTTTGTAAACATTGACAAATAGTCATAAATAGAAAATTCATGCTACGAATATTTGAGGTTTTAGCCTCTGTTTTTAATTATTAAGACTTAAGACTTCTCAGGGACCATTTAATATCCATTCACTTGTTCAACAAATATTTCTTAGAAGCCTACCATGGGTTGACTATTACAATACAGATATAATTTTCAACAAGACAGACCCAGACCCTCCCCCAGAGTGGTTGTGACCGTATATTTACAAGAGAGCTCTCAAAATGTAGCACTGAAAAGTTGTAATTGCTATGAAGGAAATACAACAGATGCTGAGTTAGAGAAAAATAGGATTGGGACACCTTCTTGAGATAGAGTGGCCTGGAAAGGGCTTTCTAGGAGGTAATATTGAAACTGGGATCTAAAGGATGAGAAAGAACTCATTTGCTTCTGTAGCCCGTGGGCCTTGTACAAGTGTCAGGCAGGGCATATGTGGAATGACTGAATGACTTTGGTGATGACACAGAAGGAAGTCCTTTCAATCATGTAAACATGCAGGCACTTCCCACATCCCCAGAATAAAGTCCAGACGTGGCTGCACAGAGCTTTCATTAACACTGTACGTGAGGAAAGTCTTCAAAACTGAACCTCAGGGGAAGGATCCATGTTTTTCATAACAAATCCATGACCTTTAAGGCATGTACACACATGTGCATGCATGCAAACACATACAAGTACCCATTCATAAATGTTCACACATGTACAAGGGGGCTTAAAATGTTCCAGGAAAAAATGGAATTAAAAGGTAATGGAATTTTTTGATAAACTTTGAAGCCTCCTTGTATATTCACATACGTGAGAACCAACATTCCTATTGACATAAGCATATACACTCATTCACAGATACACATGCCCACCGATGCTAGAAAGGGCAAGGACAACTGCATTCTGTCAAGCCAGTTACCTCTCTCTGTATGGCCATTGTGGGTGGTGGTCCGGGTAAGCTGGCTGTGCAGACGCTCAATTTCTGCATCCTTCAGGGCAACCTGCTCCTGCAGCTGGGCGACTTCAGCCTGGAAGAGCAACAAAGGACCCCCCTTCCAGGTCAGAGGATGACTGAACTACGACAGGCTTAAGTCCAGTCCAGAGGCCACTGAGGCCTAAGACGTGTTAGGAAGCCAGCAAAGCCTTACTAGCCTCCTTACAGGGCAGAGGGCTGCTGAATGGGCTTACTTTTCCTGGCTATTCCAGTCCCACCTGCAGCCATGACTATCAACCTGCTCCTTCAGCTACATCACTCCTACCTGACTAGGCTCTTGGCCTACTCTGCCCTCTGAGGTCCTGACATCTCTAGAGTCTGAGAAGTTAGATGATATGAAATGGGGGGATTGTCTAGACGTGGTCTTCCTGCTCCCAAGATATTCATGCCCAAGCATGTAGGCATACCACCATAACAACATACATGCATCTTTCATCTTTCCACCTTATGCAGGAAGTAGAGTAGAAATCAAATCACCACTAGTGGATCGAAAGTGAGCCAAAGGCTGACATGCAGAAATGGGTATTCTGGCCCTCTGCAGGTGCTGGTCTCATTGAGTCTTCAGACCACACTCCGGTGTTGCTAAACTGGGCTAGGAATCACCTTAGAAGCCATAAAGAAAAAAACTGAAGAACTTCAAAAAACAGTGTGGGTTTTCACTGTAAGGAATCAGGATGATGTAAGAAAGACAGCATGAGTTTTGAAACAACATGGGCCCAGATCTAACCCTCTGAGCCACTCTGAGCCTTAGTTTCTTCACCTGGAAAATGAGAATAAGAAGATATATCTCATTTGGTTCATTTGTAGATTAAAGGAGAAAACGTAAGCAAAGGTCTAGGTACGTTCAAGTGCTTAGAAGACACTCAACACCTGGTAGTTATTAAACAACCTATTTTAAAGGTCTACATGCCAAGGCAAAGAACTTAATTTAAAAAATGACTTGGTTTTATAATAGAGGGTGGTATGTAAAACTTCAAAGTTTTACCTAGATAGGACTTGCTTGAGTGAAGCATTGTGATGAAGGTTCTGAGCTATTTAAGTAAGAGTCCTCCTAGTACAGGAGACTGTGAGGCAAGTACATACAAGGCTGCACTCACATACAGACAGACCAGTAGGCAAATAAGTCTGGATAGACTAGGAATGCTCCTAACCAGCTGAATGATCTTGGAAATGTTCTTTAAACTCTCTGTGCCTCAGTTTGCTAAAATGAGTACACTGTAAAATCGGAATGGACTCTTGGGGTGTTATGAGTTAATAATTGCAAAGTACTTAAATTGTTATACAAAGTGGCTTCAAAATTCCATTATCTTTAATTCCATTTCCCACAGATTTTTTGAAGCCCCGTCATTATGCTACATATCACTTATCAGTGGGAAAGGAAAAAAATGATTCAATTAAATTATGTTAAGGTAATTAACCAGCTCTTTGAAAATTACATGTGCATAGATTTATATGTATTGTTGTTGTGAAGTGCTATCCAGTAGGTTCTGACTTACATTGACTGTACAGACCTTCTGAGTTTAAACTGTCAACCTTGCGATCAGCAGCCGGGTACTGATCCTATAGCAGCACACCGGGTCCCAGTGGACTCCTAACTGCAAGGTTGGTGGTTCAAACTCACCAAGTGCTCCTCGGAAACCCTATAAAGGGTCGCTAAGAGTCAGAGCCTACTTAATGGCACTATATGTGTGTGTCTGTATACATATAACCCCTAAGGTCATCTTATAGCTAAATAACAAATTGACTCAAGAAATAATACTACCCACAAGAATTATACTGCTTGAAAAAATCGCATCTCTGAGACCAAATGGTCAACAATTACTTTAAAATAGATTTTATCCCACTTCCTCCCTGTGTTTCCTGCTTCCAGTCCTCCTTTTCCAATCATCTGAACTTTGTCCTTGTTCCCCAATGCTGCCCTTTGGTCTCAGTTAATTTGGTTTATTCTAAGGTGTATACACCTACCTAGTGTTTTATTCCCCTTATAGACCTGCCGAGTGAAAAGTATACGTGTGTGTGGATATGCCTGTGTGTGTTCATCCAGTCCTGGGCTTGAAGGATGACTCAGGGCCATAGTCTCAAGGGCTCCATTGGTTTCTATTTGGCCAGGATATCAGGCACTTTCTATGACTTTGGGTTTTGTTCTACATTTTTCTCTCTATTCAGGGCCGCCCAGAGTGATTCCTTTCCAAGTGATTGGCAGTGGCTGGCAGACACTTATCCAGTTCTTCTGGTTTCAGGGTTGTGGAGGCTGAGGCTCACGTGACTTTTAATGTGAAGTTTCCTAATGTTTACTAATGAAGACTTGACATTTTAAAATACATGTACAGGGCCAAAAAAAAAAAAAAAAAAAGTGCTTAATTCAACTCAGTAATTTTAATCTCTGCATGTTAATTATTAGAGAAAGAGAGGAAACAAAGGAGGTGGAAGAAATTTATTTCACCAGAGTGTTTGTCCTTGGTGTCCTTTAAACAGCAAATTTCCCAGTTTTTTAATAAACGCATGATTTAACTGAAAATACATTGGAAGCATGTGTCACTTTCAGGAATACATTCATTGATGAAAATAAGGCATGCTGACTTTAAGAAAAATGGCCTCTTAGAGGAACTGGGAACTCAGAAAGGATGCAAACTATACAACACTGGTGGCTCCCTGCCTTAGGCCCTGTCCCTGGCTCGCTGTTCACGAGCTCGCTCATTGGCTCTTTCTCTCAGAGAACTTTCTAGGCCTCGACTTCAGCTAGGCACCGTGGGGTGCGGTGAGAGGAAAGAGACTTGACTGTTACCCTTCAGGAGCTCATCATTTTGCAGACTTTCCCCAAAGAATCTCACTGGATCCAAATCTGCCTCCTGCAGCCCATTTTTCTTTCTGGTGTGAGCAGCTCCCTGACCTTTGCCTGTGTGCATAACAGGGTGAATATGCATTGTGAAACTTGTTAAGTGCTGGTATTCAGTTCTGTCTCATAGTTAACCTGTACAGGGTCTCTGAAGGAGTCCTGGTAGCACAGTGAAGTACAAGGTGGGCTGTTAACGGCAAGGTCAGCAGCTCAAATCTACCAGCTGCTCCAAAGGAGAAAAAAAAAAAAAGAGCCTTTCTGCTCCTGTGAAGATTTACAGCCTCAGAAACCCTACACCACGTCACTCTGAGTCAGAACCAACTCCAAGGTCCGTCACCACCACTAATGCTGATGGGTTTGCGCTGCCAAACTTATGGTTAGCCTCCCAGTGCTTATGCTTAGCCTACGGCTAGGACCACCCCAGGAACTCTTTTTCAAGGTTGTTAGTATTAAGTGCCTTTAGTCCGTTCCAACCCATAGCAACCCTGTAAGGGGTTTCCAAGGAGTGGCTGGTGAGCTTGAACAGCCAACCTTGAGGAAGGTTCAAACCAGCCTTGCAGTCCAGCACACTAATCCACAGCGCCACACCAGGACAAAGCCCCAGCTTGGACACAAGCCCACCGTACTTGGCCTCAGTGCTGTCCCCCAATAGCATCAGAACTGCCTCTTACCTTAGTGGCCTTCAACTTCCACTCATACTGATTCCGTTCATTTTCTAACTCCTCCACTTTAATTTTGAGGTGTCTGAGTTCTTGCAGTAACTCCTAGAGGGACAGGAGAAAAAGACAAAGTTCTGATGGTTAACAAGCAGCAGGGACCCTGGATTTACAAACCTAGTAAGCTCATGCAGAGAGGATACCAGGGGCAGAGGAAAAGCATAAAGTTCCACACTGTGGTTTTAATCTATCAACGTGGTTCTTGTTTCAGGAAAAGCAGTGTGGCTATTTAAAAATAAGGGAAATCTCTTCGATCAGGGAGCTGCACAGACCAATAAGAAAAACATGTCCTCTTCTTTTTAGAACCCTTCTTGCCTGCCTTTTTCTCTCAAGCTCGAGTCCACTGCAGTGTGTGTGTGTGCATCATGCATATGTGTCTGTGTGGTGTGAGGCAAGCAGGGCTTAAAAACACAGGGAACAAAGAAGCTGAAATGAGACACCTATCACTTGTGTGAAGCAGACAAAATAGCAAACGTCTTTCTGTGCTGGTAGTGGAGGAGGCCACAAGAGGGGACTCATGTCACAGAGGAAGTGACAGCTGAGTGGGGTAGAAATGAAACACTTAGGGAACATACATTAAATGCTGAGTGTAGAGGCTAGTTGAGAAGAGGAAAGTGGCTTTATGAAAGAAAGGAAGAAGTGGGAATCCAGCAAGAGAGAAGACAGAATAGGAAATAACCTGTTGGGTTAGAGCAGAGAATGAGTGTTAGGCAAGCAGAGGGAGATAAGGTGGAGGTTTTCTTATGAAGATTTTTGGATTATCTTTAGACAGTAAGAAACCAATGGAGATTGCTGAGTGGGTCATTGATAAATCAGCATTATGTAGCTAAAAGTGGTGAATTGGGATTCAAACCTACAACATCTGAGTCTGGAGACATTTCAATAAAAAGAAATCAAGTCTCCCTTAACAATTGGTCCTATTGACTAGTTCCCATAAACAATGTAGCATAAAAGCAATTATTTCTATATGTCTTCTGAACGCCAAACTTATACAACAAACTTGCTATTTAATCTATACACTCGGATGTCACAGAGACATCACAGGATTGCCATGTCCAAAATGGAACCTTTACTTCCCTCCCTAGTCATCCTTGTCTCATTCAGCATATCCATTTATCTAACCACTTGTGCCAGAAACCTGGATTCCATTCTTGCATCTCCTTCTACCCCTTCCCCCATGTAACCCATTGCCCAAGACTTGGTAATTCTACTTCCAAGAAAATAACTTGAATCATTTCTCTCCAACTCCACAACTAGCCACTACATTTGGTGCCCTGGACAGTATTCTCATTGGTTAGTCCTCTGTCTTACTGTCCTCCTTCTGTCCAATGAACTCACAGCATTCAGGGGAATATGGTTACAGAACAAATCTGATCATGTCACTCTTCTGCTTCTCGAAGCTCATTAACTGTGTGTGTGGTATAAAACACATGGAACAAAATATCTTCCATTTCAACATTTCTGTGCACACTTTGACGACATTAATTACATGTGGTTGAAATGAGCACTGGTAGTGCGATGTTAAATACTTGCCTGCTGACTGTAAGGTTGAAGTTCAAACGCACTAGGGTTTCCAGGGGAGAAAAGACCAAGGGATTTGCTCCCATAAAGAGAAGGCCTTTGGGGGCAGTTCTGTTCTGTCAGATGAGGTCTCAACAACAGTTGAAAACAACTCAAAAGCACTTGAAAGCAAGTATGGTGGAGTCATCAATACTATGTTTCCAAATATTTTATCACCTTTAACAGAAATCTTATGTCCCTTAAGCAATACTTGTCTGCTTCTTACTCCGGCTTGCCCCACAGTTATGGTCCAACCACACTGGACATTTTTTAGTTCCTCTCCAACCTGGTCCTATACAGCTGCCTTCACATTTACATATGCCATTCTCTGGGTTTGGAACCATCCACCATGCTCCCTCCTACCCACCCTCAGGCCTCCCTCCACACTGCCGCAAGTGTCCTTGCTGTACACTCTCTTGTGAGACCTTGTGTGTCCGTTTCATGCTTTGTAGGTGAGGCTTTGTGCTCCAGTAAAGACTTACAGCCTCGGAAACCCTGTACAGGGTCGCTATGAGTCGGAACCAACTCCACGGCACACAACAACAACAATGAAATAATTACTTGTAGGACTGCTAATGGCTAGTTTCCCTCCATGAGGACTTTTGCTAACCTATGATTACCCAGCACCACCATGCACTCACAGTGGGTATTCACTGTATGTTGAATGAAACACGAACTCAAGCCATTATTTAATGGACCTTGTTCCCGAGTCCTCTTCAACACTGGACTTTGGGCAAGCAGTGCAGGTTCATCCTAGTTCTGCTGCCACACCAGGCATAAGTAATGCCACAGAGCACCAGAGACACTAGAATCCCAGTCAATTACACTCCACATGAGCTAGAGCGCTTGAAAGCCACTCTAATGGGATTATGTGGGGAGATTTTCCAGGAAACTCAGATAACCTAATTAATAGATCATGTTGTTTTGTGCTGTTGAGTCTGGGTCTGACTCATAGTTACCCTGTACAAGCTTTTCAAGGCTGTAAAGATTTATAGGAGCAAAAAACTTCATCTTTCTTCACAGGGGGGAAAGACTGGTGGGCTCAAACCACCTATCTTGTGGTTCACAGCCCAGTGCTTACCCTACAGAGTCACTGTACTCCCTCTAACTGATGATCATAGCAAATGGAAAACTGTGTTCTAGTTTCTCTCTGGGAGTAAACATCTTTAAAATATAATCTTGAAAGAATTCTTTCATTCTTTTATGATGCTACTTTTCCCCCATAAGGAGCTCTGGTAGCGTAGTGGTTACGAATTGGGCTGTGAACCTTAAGGTCAGCGGTTCAAAACTACCAGCCGCTCCGCAGGAGAAAGATGAGGCTTTCTACTCCCGTAAAGATTTACACCCTCGGAAACCCTGTACAGGGTCGCTATGGGTCGGAACCAACTCGATGGCACTTAACAACAACAACAACAACAACTTTTCCCCTATGGAGTAAAAATCACATGGAATGAATTCTGTTTAATCTTTAAGTCCAGAGAACACTGATGCTCCTTTGGCACAAATGCCCATCCCTGAGTGTCTGATACACCTTGTTCCCAGCTTTAAAGGAGATGAGCACCACCACCTGTCTGAGGATCTGTCTCACCTGCTCAGACACTGCTCAGTGAGGGCTGCAAAGCTCACTTAACTTCCCCAGAGGAATGGGTCCCAAGCTATATCCAGAGGCAAAAACAGAACCATGCTAAGCTCCCCAGCCCCTCCACCAGGGAAATACCCCACACATGCATGCTCTGATATACTTAAGTGTGGTTCCTACAGGTGACCCCTCCCAACAGGCACAGTCCTGGCTGCAGGGCTGGGACTCGGCCACTTCGTCGCCGGCCGCTACCTCCTCAGGGTGGTCCCTACTGTGTAACTGGCGCTCTTGCATCTGCCTGTGGATGTCCAGCTGCAGCCTACACATCTGCTCCTGCAGCTCACTGATCACATTCAGAACTGACTGTAGGAAGGAAGAGAGAGGAGAAAAAAGCATGCCGGGTCAGTCAGCTCTCAGACACACAGCTCCTGAAGAAAGCAGCACAGGAGAGGAAGGAGTGCACACAAGGTGAGCAGCCTTGGGAGGCACTCAGCCGTCACTGGCCATGGCTCCACTTTCTGTACAGAAATCAAAAGGCATGGCTTGTTTCCTAATGCCTGCCTCATCCACAGGCTGGTGGAACAAACTCCCAACAGCACATAGCTCCTCTGCACCATGCTGGAGGGCCCTCCTGACACGACAACACCCGAGGCACAGAGCCTAAAATTAGACACCTTGCAGGAAATGAAGCAGAAGCAACAGCAGAGAGGGGGCTAAAGCAAGAGCGCATAGACAGACACTGCCCCTTTATACAGGTGTCCATGCTGCAAAGGCCAACTCTCCCACTCCAAGCATGCCACCACCTCATGCGCAGGCTACAGAAGAGGGGGCTTCAAAAGTTTGTGGGGAAAATTCTATTATCTTGAAGCCCATTTTTCCGTAAACTTTGCGCACACCACACTTAAACATGCTAACATGACCGCAATCCCAAACTCCCTCACACTCTAGAACAAACCCTACTCATTCATTTCCCACTCCAAGCCTGACTCCTTTGTAAGATCTTTAGAATAGTTTGGTCTTTGACAACCACTTTTAATACCTGCAAACCTCAGAATTCATAACTATTCAATTCTGAATCCCTAGTCAATAGACATTTAGGGTCACTCTGCAGAAACTCAGTGGTCACAGTTATCTATGGGGAAGGACGGTGGCCTTCCTCTTCTGTCAAGAATCTTCACTACCTTCTACTGCCCTCTCCCTTCTCATGCTCTCTCCAATTTTAAACTTCTCAAATGAGTGTCCAGATCTGCTGCCCCTGCTTTCCATCATCTCATCCCACCCCCAAACTCCCTAGGCAGAGAAGCATCTGTGTCTAACACACTATGCTCCACACTCCTTCTCATTGACCTCCTCCTCCCAGTCACTTCCACAAGCTTCTTCCCCTCCCTGGAGGTGTCTGTCTCACTGTTCAAGCGCTTCCGTCTCTATCAGCAGTGATTTTAGACTACGTAGTCCTTCAACCTCTATTAGTTGCTGAGCGATACCCCATCTCTCCAGTTCATCTAGGGTTAACCATATTAGTTTTTCTTTGGATTCCTATCATCACAACTTCAAGACCTTCTCTAGCAACACCTCAATTGTGGACTCACATGGTAAACAGCAGGAAATCTAAGGACATATTTCTAGATTACCTGAAAATCATCCTTAAGGGTCAGTCAGCTGATTCATTACCATTCAGGTACCAATATAACCATTTTAGCATTCAGCCCATATTCCTTCATCTTATCCACAAGACTAATCCAAGCAACGTTCATGCAATACCTCAATGAAGTGCAGAGTTAGGCATTGGACTGCTAACCACAAGGTCAGCAGTTCAAATCTACCAACCATTCCAGGGGAGAGAGATGAAACTGTCTCCTCCCTAAACATTTCCTGTCTTGGAAAGTCTACATAGGGTTACGAGGCCCTG